AGCATCGAATGCACAGAGACAGGAGGGAGTGGAGGAACAGGGAAGGGTGCAGCCGGTCACTGAGTGCATTCGCGGAAGATTTATTTGATGGCGTCTGCGAAAGATTTCATTCGGATTGTGCGCCAACCGACACGCTCCCAAGCCATCTTCTTTTCTTTTACGCGTAATAAAATTTCGAATAAAATTCATATTGATGAATGATTTTGATAATGATGAGTATGATGATGATGATATAATTAGTAAATGTAATTATAATGTTTGTCTCCTTGTTTTGAATTTAATTGGGAAAATATGACATACTTTATGAAGTAGGAAATTTGAAAACACAAGAAATAATAATGTTGATATTTATGTTTTAACATTGGCTAAACCTCGTGGACCTAGAAAAGCACAAACTTTTGTTGGATTTCGTAGACTGACGCTATAGAATCACAAACAAAGAACTTTGATAAATAGCAGACACCACATCACTTGAAGACTTCCAACAGCAGCAACAACTAAAACAGATAGCACGTGTAACTCGAAGAGAAAAGTCAAGACGTTGATATTCCACACTACTTCGAACAAAAGGTTAGGAAGGAAACCCCCATCAATGCTGGAAAGAGCGATAACAGCTACTGGACTTGAGGAATCTGAAAATAATTATCTTAAGAGAAGCATTTTAGAAATTCCAACCGATAGTAGTATAAAGTTTCTCGATCAATGAATGCCGAATGTTACCTTATAAGGAAACAGCTAATAATACTATTACCATAACGAGTAATATTAACAAATCCAGAATTCATAAATTTAAATAAATATTTGCATGCCTTTGCGTGCGTTGAATGTGCATGTATTTTTCTGAATAATTTACGACACATGTGCACATACGCACACCTACAGACGTACACACACACGTACACATACATATCTACACATATACACACCCACGCCCGCAAAGAAGAAGAAATAAAGTCAACCTACAACAATAAAAAAAAAACATGGATTTTTTTTCTCTTAATATTCAATAACGAAAATGAGAAAATCAGCAGACAATTGCTGATACCTCCTGACGAGTGGAGCGAACGATTACACAAAAGTTCGTCTGGGGTAGATGTTCTGAATATAACATCAAGCAGCTAAGTGACACATTTTATACTTGTCTTAATCCTAATTGTTTTAATAGAAATATCTTAATAAGATATTTCTATTAAAACAACAGACAGTAACGCAGACTATTTGTTCAATCAATGCCTTGTGTTTCCTTATAAAGAAACGGCTAATTTTGCCATTATCGTATCTACTCAGGGCGATTACCATCATCATATCTTTTGAGAATCTCTGTCAGATCTTCGGGAACTGTAAGCAACCTCCTACATTCCAAAATGTGTTTCGGTTTTAAATGATCCACAAAGGGTTGATAAGCTGTAAAAAATAAAATCAATCAATCAAAACAATCTCTGCTAGATTCATTGACTGGTTAAGAAGATTCTTAAAAACGTTTTATTCACCGGCCTTGCTGTTCTCATCTAGGTTATTTTAGTCACAACGTTTCGACTGTTGCTTCCATTGACCTTCTTCAGGTAATGACTGATGTTTCCTTATAAGGAAACCGCTAATCTCAACATTACCATTCCGTTCCAAATAATATAAAAGAAAGACTCACAGAATTAAAGATTCTGTAAAAGATTCAGGTAGATTTTTCAGACTACGACACTAAGTTATGACGTTCTCGCTCACTTCCTTTGTTTATAGCAGTGCCTGGAAAGAAAGTGTGTAGAGTGTGGTCGTCTTAACGCACCACAGAGGTTCTATCAGTGAACATACATTGTGAAGTAGTTTTGAGCCAAGTACAACATTCCCCGAGTTCAACAACTAATATATTCTTCAGATCTCGCCTCGTGCGACTTTTTCCTCTTCAAAAATCAAATCTCAATTGAAAGGAACAACATTTCAAGTCGTGGAGGAAATGCGATGCTATCTCGAAAGACTTCCATCAATGGAAATAACGCCGGATAAAGTGTGTGGCTTTGAAGGAGATAAAATGCCGAATTGATATGTGTTGCAGTTTTCTTTTTGTAGCTATAGTATCGATACTTTTTTGATCAGTCCTCGTACATGTATATCATTAATAAATTATTTATATAATGAAGAATGTGTTTTTTCTGTGTTTCTCTGTCCATATCAATAAGCTCCCCAGTTGCGGGGGTTGGGGGGCAATAATCAGTAACTACAAGGTAATAAGAAAATCCTTTGTATTGGTAACCCAAGTAATGTTATGTTTTAACAAAACTACAAAAATTTATACGTTTTTTTAACTTATTTTTATATTATAATATTTATTATAATATTTATGAATTTAATAATATTTATATTATAATATTTTTTATAATATATAATTAATAATATATAATTAATGATATTTATATTATAATATTTATTATAATATTTATAAATTTAATAATATTTATTTATAAATATAATAATATTTATTTCTTATAATATATCTATATATTTATACGCTATAATTTAATATACAGGGTGCGATGGATAAATTGTCGTCTAAATTACGCATAAAAAAATTTTAAAGAAAATTAAAATAAAACTGACATCTAATTTTAAACAATTAAACAAAAATATCTTTAAATACTAATGAGTAAATTTTTTCAATAAAATCGCCATTGGCTTCAACAACGGTCTCCAGACGACTTCGGAATCTCCTGCATCTCTTCAGGACGGTCTCCTTGTTTAAGTTGGTGAATGCTGCCATAATCCTTGTCTTCTCTTCATCCTTTTACAAGGATTTTTGTTGGTCTCTCGCTCAACTGCGCCCCACACATAATAATCAAGGGGGTTGCAGTCTGGGGAGTTTGATGGCTACATGTAAGGGGTGTCTGACAGACATGACAGGGTTCTCCTGTTTGTGTGCCATAGTGAAAAGTCTTGTTGGCAGATATACGGTCTTCCACCAGCCACCTTCTTAACCCAGGGTAGCACTACCTCCTCAAGGTACTTGATGTAGACCTCGGTGTTGAGTTTGAGTCTCTGTGGTAAGATGAATGGAGGCATAACGTTGCCATCACTAGTGATCATGCCAAACACCTTCGTAATCACCATCCAATTCTTTCTGAATCTTTTGCACTGTCCTCAGATTGACACCCAAAGACTCTGAAACGTTCCTATTCGAACTTTCGGTGCGAATGCCAAGCAGTACAACATGCCGTTTCCAAATTTCTGGCCGAGTGAATTGCGTCATGGTGCTTTTTTTTCTCACAGACGATGCCCAACTGACCCTACCATACTGTGCAGTCGACAAATTCAAAAACAAACAACGCGCATGCGCGAAATTAAAAATATAAAACGGCGACAATTTAACCATCGCACTCTATATATAAAATCACGAATTATAATATTTACAAATTTATATGATAATTTTTATGATGAACCTTCCTCTATCGCAGATTGGCGACAATGTTTCGGCATTTTACAGTTGAATTGGTTTGATGTAACCGCCATTTCTTTGCTAAGAGTTTCTTTTCTCGCACTTCTTCCGGCTTTTTGTTTTCCACCCAACTTTGATCTTCAGAAATTTAAATGCAATGTCAATCGTTATCTACTTTCTTCTTGATTTCTCTTCTTTTATTGTTCACGCTCATTAACCCCCCTTGCGTCTTAGTGGCTTTATTGCCTTGCTTGTAGGGAAATGATTAAATCATAATAGTAATAATGTTTACTAATAAATATAACAATATTTATTCATTTATTCACAGTCTTCTAAAATTAACAATCTATTTCAATGAAATCGGACATTTTTTAAACTCATTCTTATTTCTGTTCATCATAAAAGTGCATAAATTTCTAAGTTTGTTTATAACTTTATAGTTTTTCTCGCTTTTTCCCAGTTTATTTTCATTCTTTTTTAGAACCCTATTAATAATGAATAAACAAGGACATATCTTTGTTGAGCAACCGCCCACTAGATTTCTTTGCATGGGGTTTCATAATAACAAAGGTTTATCGCCAAAAGATCAGTGGTCTATCTGTGCTTAAAGAACGCATTCAGTTAGAAGTGCAGGAGGAGATAACTCCTGAAAGGCTTCAAGATTTGCATCGCAATGCTAAGGATAGATTTGAAATTTGCAGGAATACAAACGGAGCACACGTTGAAAATTTTTAATAAAGTTTTAACGAAAGTTTTATAAATATATTTGTCTTGTACCATAATTAAGTAATAAACATAAAACTCCATCAGTTTTTTTTTAAATCTACCAGATTTCATCCAAATATTTAATTCTTGGACAGCCTGTGTTTCTATATATTTATTCACTATAGTATAATCTTTAAAAAAATATAAATATTATATTTATAAATGTATAAATTATATTTATAACACAGTGACCGAAAATCGAACTACCATTAAAAAAATGGCTAATTTTTATATTTATTTACTAAATGAATGTTTCTTTATTTGGCAATATATTATTTGAAAATTTTACTAATTATGGAAGACTAGCAGTAGAGCCCGGCGTTGCCCGGGGATATAACAGTAAGAGATAAATCAAGTATCCACCATCATAAAGACTGAAAAATAAAATTGACAAAGATTATTGTTTAAGGTTGACGGATACGCATGTCTTAATTAGTTTTTTTTTAGTTTTTTTTTATTTACGAATTGGTCAAACCCAAACTCAAACAAAAACATTGTTTTCAATCGTTATGAGTCTCTACCGATAGAATGGAATTTTATTATAAACAATTGTCTTGGAAATGGAATTTTTAAAGCATTCTGAATGTAAAAATAAAGAAAAAAGTGTGCAAGACAATAAGAAACACTACCTGCCCAAAAAAAGTGAAGTTTTGTTGAAATCGGTTGAAAAATGTAGGTAGCCTTTCTGTAATCTTTTAGTTTTACAATTTATGATTTTTACTTATTGAATACAGTAATAAAAATTGCATATTTTGCTTGTGGTGATTCATAATTAGAATTCTGATTTGAATATATTTTCCACTCGTTGTTTCTAATACAAAAAATATTAACTTTTTGGGGGTTTATTAATTATGATCTAACAAATCTTATTCATTTAGTAGCC